ATGCTTGGAGAAGTTGTTAGTGAAGACGAAGAAGAAGAAATAAATGAACAAGAAATTGAAATTGAAAAGAAGAAGGCACAAGAAAGAATTAAACAATTAACTGATCCTTCATTAGATAACAATGCTATTATGTCAATGAAATTTATGAAAAGAGCAAGAGCTAAAGAAATTGAAGAAATGAAAGATATTCTTGCAGATAAACAAATGGAAGAAGACATAGAAAAAGATGGTATTCTAGTTGAAAATAACGATGTTATACCTACTAATCAAACAGCAGGAAATATTAATATGGAAGATGATGACATTAAAATACAAACAAAAGAAGATCAAATTGCTAGTATTAATATTGAACAAGAAGAAACTAACAAGAAAAAAAAAGAAGAAAAAGGATTAGATGCAATGTTAAAAGAATTACAAAAAGAAGCACAAGATAATGAAGAAATGAGTGAAGAAGATGAAGAGAAAGAAAGTGAAGAGAAAGAAAGTGAAGAGAAAGAGGATGAAAAACAAGAAGAGAAGAAAGTAAATGAAAAGAAAGAAAATAAAATAGAAATAGATATTGATATTAATGATGAAAGTAATAATAAAAAAGAAGAACACATGAAAGAAGAAGAAGAAAATAAAGAAAGAACAAAAATGGAAGTTGTTGAACTTAAAGGAAATGAAAATAAAAATCAAGTCTTAGAAATTCAGAAACAAGAAGATGGTAAAGAAGAAGAAGGTGTATTCAAAGAAGACCAAAAAGAAATTTTAAGACTTGCATTTGCAGAAGATGATGTAATGAATGAAATAGAAGAAATTGATGAAGAAAATAAAAAACAAAAAGAAGAAGAAGATCAAAAATCAATTCCTGGATGGGGTAATTGGGTTGGAGAAGGTATTCAAAAGAAAACAAAGAAAAACAAAGAAGAAAAAAAACCACATAAACGTAAAAATACAATTGTTTTCAATCAAAGATTTGACAACAAATTTTCCAAGTATACTTTAGAAAGAGTTCCAAAAGAATTTGCTAATGTTACTCAATACAAAAAATATCTTAATACTGCAATTGGTAAAGAATGGACATCATTATTAACACACAATAAATTAACACAACCAGAAGTTATTATAAGAAAAGGAATGAATATTGAACCAATGAAACCATTGCATAAGAAGAAAAATTGATTGATTTTTGTTTTGTATATGTTCA